CAAGAAACTTCAACACTTCTTGTTTGCCTATCGGGAGGTTCCACAAGCCAGCACCAAGTTCAGCCCATTTGAGCTGTTATATGGGAGAACACCAAGAGGACCTATGGACATTTTGAAGGAAACATGGACAGGAGCAGAGGACATTCCAGAGACTGATATCAACAGTTACATCGAGGACTTACGAGGACATTTAACAACCATGAGTGACTGCGCAGCCGAGAGCCTGTCAACTGCCCAGCTGAAGCAGAAAGAACAGGCAGATCTTCACGCAAGACATCGATGTTTTGATGTGGGAGATAAGGTCCTGGTTTTAAAACCAAGATCTAAGAAGAAACTGGAGGTTTCTTGGGAGGGACCTTATGTAATATTGTCTAAGATTTCGGAAGTCACTTATCTGGTGGGGGAAAACATAGATGGGGGAAGGTGTAAGAAATTACATGTGAATATGCTTAAACCTTACTACTCCAGGGCTAGGGTAGTTATGCAAGTATCCCAGGAGACGGATGGGGAGGTTACTCTGTCGGGATGGGGAAAGGTAACGGCGGATTGTACTTTACCCTCTGTGGATGAGAATACCAACTTAACAGATCCACAGAAACAACAGTTGAAGGATCTATTATACCAGCATAGGGAGGTATTTTCCAATATACCGGGTAGAACCCATTTAGCTTGTCACCGGATAAACACAGGGACAGCTAACCCTATAGCATCTGCCCCATACCGCGTAACAGGAGAACAAGCCAGACTGATCTCAAAAGAGATACAAGAAATGTTAAACCTTGGTTTAATTGTGCCATCGAGTAGCCCATGGTCATCTCCAATTGTGTTAGTACCAAAACCAGATAATACCATCAGATTCTGTGTAGACTACCGTAAATTAAATCAGGTTACCATCTCAGATGTATATCCGATGCCGAGTATAGACGAGCTCATAGAGACCATAGGGTCAGCCCAATACATAACAACCCTGGACCTCACAAAAGGATATTGGCAGGTGGCTATGCACCCAGAGGACCAGGAGAAAACCGCTTTTATTTCTAAGGATGGGTTGTACCAATTTACCGTCCTCAGTTTTGGTCTAAAAAATGCCCCAGCCACCTTTCAAAGGTTAATTGATCAGATGTTAGCAGGGATGAAAGACTTTGTACAAGCCTATATAGATGATTTATCAATTTATAGCCAGACGTGGGAACAACACCTGGAGCACCTAGGGAAGGTGTTGCACAAAATCCGGGAGGCTGGTTTAACAGTAAAAGCCTCTAAGTGCCAGATGGCCAGATCCCATGTCAAATATCTTGGTCATATAGTGGGAGGAGGTTCCATATTGCCGGATATGGATAAGGTACAGGCAATACGTGAATGGCCTGTTCCCAAAACAAAGAAACAAATCCGATCTTTTTTAGGAGCTGTAGGATTCTACAGACGTTTCATTCCTGATTTTAGTTCTCTGGCGGCAGTATTAACTGATTGCACAAAAAAGACATCACCTGATAAGATTAAGTGGACAACTGAGTGTCAGACCGCTTATGATTTGCTGAAGAGTGCCTTGATGAGTGAACCTGTGTTGATAGCGCCTAGTTTTGAGAAATCTTTTGTTTTAACCACGGATGCCTCCAAGGTAGGACTTGGAGCAGTGCTAGGTCAGGAAAACGAAGAAGGTGTGATGCAACCTGTGCTGTATCTCAGTAAAAAGCTAATAGAAAGGGAACAGCACTTGTCAGTAATTGAAAGAGAGTGTTTGGCGATAGTGTGGGCTATCACAAAATTAAAACCATACTTATGGGGAAGAAGGTTTACTCTGTGCACTGACCATTCACCATTAAGGTGGTTACACCAGGTTAAGGGCACTAATAGTAAGTTAATTCGTTGGAGTTTAGCACTCCAAGATTATGATTTTGAAATAAAACATATAAAGGCACTCAAAATGTCATTGCAGATACGTTGTCCAGAGCCCTGAGTTAAGGTAAAGATTAGGATTGCAAAAGGTATTGTATTTGCTATGTTAGATTGTTTATATGCATTGTTGTAATGTATTTAACATGTTTTTTTTCCATACAGGAATATATTTATTGTGTATAATGCATTGATTTCATATGGTATATATTGAATTGCAAAATGTGTTTATTGCATATGTGTTAATGCAAAATGTGTTTATTGCAGATGTGAGTATTGCAAAATGTATTTAAATGTGGGTATGTATATAGATAGATAGATTAGATAGATAGGTTAGTTAGAGGGGTTAGTTAGGCCTAGGATATTGTTAGGCTTTGCTTCGGAAAACGTCTGCAAACCTTTTCACTCCGCAAACCATCTTGAGGTGGGGAGGGAATGTGAAGATCCCTTACCTTACCAACCTGGGTGGCAGGGCCTAGGAGAGGCAGGCTAGTTAATTTCAGCCTTAGAAGGCCTGGCAGAGGGCAGCAGGAGCCATTTTAGTTTAGGGAAAGCTCCATTTCAGAGAGGGGGAGTGGCCTAGGCCTGAGCCAGCCTTAGAGCAGCCAGGATTGGTTTATTAAAGGGGGGCGGAGTTAGACTGTTTGGAGGGAAAGAAAGAAGCTTTTTCAGGGAGTCAGTCTGTTGATGTTAGAGTTAGAGCAGGATTACAGAAGCTTTTAGGAGTTCGTGTTAAGAATAGGCAGTTTGCCTGAAGTTTGCCAGCGAAGTAAGCTGTGGCAAACTGGGTACAGCTATTTAGGGAAAATAGCTGGGTTTTATATTTGTAACAAAGAAAGAACCATTCTCATGCAACCGTTACGCTTTCAAGAACCAAAACATTTTAACTGTAACAGCCAAGCTTATTAGACAACATTCACTTCATTCTGTATCTCTATCAATAAACTTTCCTTGTTTTTTTTTGAAACTTAAAAGCCCGAGTCCAGTGTACCTTTGTGGATTTAGTCCCTTTTCATTCAACCTCACCTGCTTCCTTTAAATAAGAAAATAAAACACAGTACTTGGTGGTAATAAAAGCCCTTTTCAACATTTTAAACAGCTAGAGTGTTCCTGTACAATCAGTTATGGTGGCAGCGAAAGTTTAAATAGAGAGACATCCCCTCAAACGTTATATTGGTGCCAAAGTGGTGTAAATTCTTTATATTGTAGGGACAGTTGGTGGGATCTGTTTGCCCCCTGTCCAGTTATTATTGTTTGGCCACACGACGTGCCTTTATAGCGGTCAACCAAATAGCCTGGACTTATTTATTTATTATTTCGGGTACTTTTACCCCACCCTTCTCAACCCCCGAGGGGGGACTCAGGGCGGCTTTGGACTATCTAGGCGCTTTGAATTGGCTTTCCAGGCCACCACATATACCTCGGCCTCCAGATTCAGTGCTGAGTCCAGGAGGACCCCCAAACTGTGGACCTGTGTCTTCAGGGGGAGTGTAAGCCCATCCAGTTTAAATCTGGATGCCTATTCCCTGATCCACTTTACAACTGACCAGGAGTCCCTCTGTCTTGTCTGGATTAAGTTTCACTTTGTTTGCTCTCATACAGTCCATTACTGATGACAGACACTGCTTTAGGGTCAGGACGGCTTCCTCGGCATTAGGTGGAAAGGAGTAGAGTTGGGTGTCATCTGCATATAGGTGTACTGAACTCCAAAATTCCGGATGACCTATCCCAGCAGTTTCATGTACATTATAAAGTAGTGTAATAAATAGCTGGTGTTGAGATGGCTTACACCACCACTGACATTTTGAATATTTTCAACAGATTGCAGATGTTGGACGGACTGGCACCTTTTGATTTTAAGACAAAGCCTTCATGGATTAACCCATATTATTTAGGTAAAACCTGTTCATTAGGTCCTGTATTAAAGTTGCTACATAATTTTCCAGCTCTGAATGGTAAACATTTTTAACTGTGTAAGAATTATTAAATTCTATAATCTTTAAAACACCTTAGACAGCAATTATTTAGAATTCAACTCTCTCCAATGGGCTGCTCTACATGGGAAGCCACCCATTTCCAAAGAAAACTTGTTCAAATTCATGGAGTCAAAAGGCATCTTCAAGGCATGTACACACACACACGGGAAAATGCTGAGGTAAAAAAGGACAGGATGGTGGCAAGAGTTCTGTACCTTCTGACTTCTAAACAGAATTTAGGGTCAAAATTGTATTTTTTTTCTTTGTCTCAGATAGTTAAATGTCTGGGACACTTGTTATCTGGTGCCATTTCAAAATGGAGAAAGGAGGGCTGGGAGAATGAATGCTGGATGGTGTAAAAATGCTCCATCCTCCAAGAAATTCATAAAGAAGAATTCCAATCTGTTCTTCTGCTTATGTGCTAATTTACCATTGTTGTTATGTGCCTTCATCTAAACTCCAACTTCCAGAAACCCTACCACAGGGTTGTTGTTGTTGTTATATTTATTTGTATTTTGCTTTCCTCTCTTAAACAAGACTCAAAGCAGCTCAGAATATGAAAAACAATCCAAATTACCATTTAAAACCTGTAACATATAAACATTAAAATGAAATTAAACATAAAATCATTAAAAACAAGTAATTTAATTCCCATAAAACCATTAAAACTATATTTTTTAAAAAATATTAAAACACTATACAGCACCCTTGGACTTATTCTTAAAAACTTTCCTTGTCAAGTTTTACGCAGAGCAGGTTTACTGTTCTTTCAACATGAGAGAGGATGCCTTGCCTAAAGTTTCCCAGTGGGCTTCCATGGCTGAACTGGTGGTGGCTCTACATCAGCCATGGGCAAACTTCGGCCCTTCAGGTGTTTTGGACTCTTAACTCCTGGCCATTAGAAATTGTGGGAGTTGAAATCCAAAACAACTGGAGGGCCAAAGTTTGCCCATCCCTTGCTCTACATGGACCATTTACCCTGCGACTGATCTGGAGTGGGGAATGCTGATTGGTCCCAGGATAGTTTAGATCAGGGGTCCTCAAACCTTTAAAGCAGAGGGTCAGTTTATGGTCCCTCAGACTGTTGGAGGGCCAGACTATAGTTTTTCAGTGCAAAAAAGAAAAGAAAAGTAAGAATATTACAATACTTAAAATGAAGAACTATTTTAACCAACTTAAACTTACCAGTATTTCAATGGGTAGTGTGGACCTGCTTTTGGCTAATGAGATAATCAAATAAATTAGGATTGTTGCTGCGTGCTTTCAAGTTGTTTCAATCTAAGTCTAAAGTTTAGGGCAGGGGCCAGCAGGGCCGTAGCCAGAAAAAAAATTCGGGAGGGGTTGAAATTTTCGGGGGGGGGGGGGGGGTGAAACTGCCTCCTAGGTCACGCTGAAGCAAAGAGCACAGGAGGGGGCAGAGCAGCCTTCAATAGTCTGCAGCTCTGCCCCTGACAACCACCTCCACCAAGTCTGGCCTCCTTAATGAGAGCATTCAACACCTCCCCCCCCAACTTGGTTGCTTCGCTACATTGGCTATTGCTGCAAGTAATGACAGTGTGAATAAATTGTCAATATTTGCTTGAAATAGTGCTTGCAGTTCTGGAGGGACTCTTAATTTTTTGCATCTCATAGACTTAACATGAGAATTTGGTTAACCAGTTAAAATTCATGAGTAAACCAGGTTTTTTTAAGAATCTGTAACATTTCGGTGGGGGGGTTGAACCCCTAAAACCACCCCCTCGCTACAGGCCTGGGGGCCAGGTAAAGTAACCATCCAGCCTTAGTTTGAGGACTCCTGATTTATACTGACAATTTCCTCTTACCGGCTGCTGTGGAGACAAGAGGGAGTCCTGACTGCCAAACAGCCACCCTTACTACTCTCCCTTTTTGCCTCATTATTGTGGCCAGCAGACACAGCATAGCTTGTGTTGGTGATTCATCTTGAGTGACTTTAGCCAAGGCACCAGAGCCGACATCATGCTGTGACAGAAGGGGTGCAATCAAACCGAAGATTGCACCTAATGGCCTCCTAAGACATTTCCCTCCCCTGTTAAACTAATGTTTCAGGAGGCATGAGGTACATGGGAAGATCTCAGAGGCAGACTAGTCCCATATATTACAGATGGCATGCCTTTTAATGTACTTTTATATGATGTGCTCCAATTGTCTAAATTTTGTAGGGAAAGCCCCAGTTCCTTCATTCCATTTCCCCCTTTTCCACCTTTATTTCAACTGATGTAAACTAAGTTTGAGGTGCAAAATTAGTTTATGCTCAATTACTTAAGTGTGGGGTGAAGAGCCACAAAGAGGCAAAATTTTGCCCTCCCCAATATGTTCAGGCAAAAGTGAACTTCTATCTTGACCTTCTACCTCATTAATAACTTTTGCTATTTTGACCACACCCTGTTGATGTTTGGCCACACATGTTCCCAGTTTTCATTTGTGAGATTTTTTTTTTCGTGTCAGGAGTGACTTGAGAAACTGCAAGTTGCTTCTGGTGTGAGAGAATTGGCTGTCTGCAAGGATGTTACCCAGGGGACACCTGGATGTTTTAATGTTTTACCATCCTTGTGGGAGGCTTCTCTCATGTCCCCACATGGGGAGCTGGAGCTAACAGATGGAGCTCATCCACACTCTCCCTGTATTCGAACCTGTGACCTGTCAGTCTTCAGTCCTGCCAGCACAAGGGTTTAACCCACTGTGCCACTGGGGGCTCCTACTGGAGTGTATGCTGTATCTACAAAGACTTACATTTGACTTGGAAATCCAGTCAATCAGAAAGCTAGAACTGGCTTATCACTACACAAAGTCAAAACAGTATGTCACAGAATTTCATAGATAAAGTGAATGTTAGCATTATAACTGTGTAGTGTGAAAAGACCCTAGAATTCATTATAGATACCTACTGAATTATGCTGTGTGGTATGTGAAACATCCTGACTGTTTGTAAAGCTATTATGTTTTCCCTCCTGGGCCAAATGAGAGAGATTTACATTAAGCAAATGTGTTTCAGTTCATAATCTTTTCCTGAAAGGAAAGCTAAATCACAATGAATAAAACCCTTTTAAGTGCAAATTGTTATGATAAACATCATGAAACATGTACAGACGCAGAAAGGGGTGTAAGATCTATAACCAATCTGCATTTAAATGCAAATAACATTTTAATGGGGCTATTTGTGTTTCCTATGGGGGCGGGGTGAGGAGATATACAGTTGAAACACGTCACTGCTTATTTTCAGGTGACATTTCACTTCTGTGCGCAGGTATACAGTATATCTTCAATTCCGTTGTTGACTAATGGTCAACTTATGGTTTTCTTAGGCAAGGAGTCCTCAGAGGTGGGTTTGCTAGTTCCGTCCTCTGAAATATATCCCACAGCACATGATATTCATTGTCTCCTAACCAAGTACTAGCCATGGCCCGCTCTACACTGCCATATAAAATCCAGAATATCTGCTTTGAACTGGATTACAAGGCAGTTTAGACTCATATAATCCAGTTCAAAGCAGATAATGTGGATTATTTGCTTTGATAATCCAGATTATATGGCAGCGTAGAAAGGCCCTACCTTAGCTTCCAATATCAGGTGGAATCTGGTGCCTTTAGGGTCTTCACATGTCTATGAGGATGACAGAACCAAGGAAAGGGACTTTCTGATTCTGAAAGGGTCATCTACCAAGCACATCTTTTGAGGACAGAATTATAGATGGTAGGGAAAGAATCAATAACCAGCCTTAAAGCATTTAGGGGCAGCAGTGTTGCCTATGCAGCAAATCACAACAAAGTACAAAATCCACAAAAGAACAGCACCTTTCTTGACCAACCAAAATGCAGAAAATAGATCACACAAACTTTCAAAGCTTCACAGGTTCCTTCATCTGGCAATGATGATAAAAAAAAATCACACACAAGAAGAAAAATGTTATTAGAGTCACAGGTCTACATTTTGTCTCACATATTACATCTGTTGTCAGTTGAGATTGTCTGGAGGGATTTCAGTGGAGGCAGAGGCCAGTCCTCTTCTCAGTGATGTGGGGAATGGTGAGAAAGGGCAATAATAGAGACCAGGGTTCGAGTCCCTGTTCTGCCATAGAAACCTTGCGGGTGCCCTTGGGTGAACCACACTTTCTCAGTTCTTGAAAACGTCCTGATAGGGTCACCATAAGAAATAATATTAGAGTACTATAAGTTCAAAAATGACTTGAACAACAACATTTTAACTCCCTCAGGAACAAAAGGGGGAATTTTAAAAGCTTCTGAAAAAATGGGTAGCGGAAGATTAATTGGAACTGTTGCTGCCAAATCATGATATCTGGAAAGTATTCAATGCATGGAGGGCTGCATGATTCCCATTGCTGGAAATGGGGAGGAGTGTTAGTCTAATCTCCAGTAGACCCATTGAAATTAATGAGACCTCTGAACGTCATGGCTTGCCATTCATATTGGTACTTTAGTTGGTGCTAATGTTGGATTTAGTCCAATGCCATTTCATATATCATTTTATTATTATGTCCTGTTGGACGATCAGTGTCTCATTCCAAAGAAGACTTCCACTGAGGGATATTTGCTAATAGGTAAAACATTTTATTCAGATAGGTCTTGGTATGTAAGCTTGTCTAATTGGCTTGGTGCAGCCAAAAGGAATCAGACTGGCAGATCTTTTATTGTTGTTTTTTAAAATAGTTTTCATTATATGCTTAAATCAAGATTTTATTTTTAATCTGTGTATTCTTAGCTGCTTTGAGTACTTTTTTGTAGAAAAGGTAAGTTGTAAATAAACAAATAAAATGCTAGAGAGATTATCTAATTAGGACATAAATATAGCATTAGTTAATGATCTACACTGTGTTGAGTAGTGTTCTGAGTAGATTACCCACTCCTTTAATGTTCAGTCATTTGTCTCAGCAAGTCATTGCACACAGATAAATGCTGAAGTTGTTACATGATTTAAATGGTGAAGAGTAATTGGTTTATATATTCCTCCCCCAATAGCTTTGTGTCAAAATTAACTAATGTTGTATCAACTATGTTCCAAGGGTCTCTTTTAGGTTTTTCTGCAAGCAGCCATGTAATACTGGTATCTTAATTTGTATATTGTGCTAAGGCAATGAAATAACTGGATTGAACCGAATCATGTTAAATTAGCAATTTTGCTACTTCATTTCTTCAATTGCTCATGTGTGTCTACATCATACTCACACTTCAAGGCATATACTCCACTCTTATGGCTGTTGCACCATTTCAGACGTATAGTAATTTACCTGTGTTCTTTAGATTATTATAGCATTACAGTCATGGTTTCTGTGTTCAATTTTCAGTTCTTGTAATCTATAAGCATGTAATACTTTCCCAGTGTCCAAACAGTGTCCAAACAGCATTGCTTTCATTTGTGCACCATGTGCTGCTTTTAGGGTTGGAAAGAAGGGTACTTAATTCATGTTGATTTATCCATCCAGTATCCAATCACCTTGGGCTTTTACAATTTGTCCGCAACACACTTCACGTTGACAACCAAACCAAGCAGTGAGAGTACACACTGAATAAATGTTTAAACTTTTGTATGACGTTATTTTAAAACTATTTTTATCTTTTGTAATTGCATCCAAAGCTAAGGCATGGTCACAATTTGATCTTGAAGTGTCACAAGACTAGAAACACACAATACTTAGTAGCCAATTTATGAACTGTTTTTGAACTGATGAACCACAGGCAAGACTACTTAGTAATCTATAGTTTTCATATTCACAGAAGTTGAACTGCATACATTGGTTTTTATGACTCATGCAAATGAAACACTCATGTCAGCCATTGCACCAGCCCAAAGAATTAATGAGATTTCGGAGAAGGATAGCTAAGAGGCGATCTTTGCTTTCCCACCTCTTGCTCTCCTAAGTGCAAGGTAGGAAAAGAAGAATATAAAACCAGTGGTGTCATTCAAAATGATTAACAACTAATTTCAGGATCTAATCCTTTCCTCCCTTTGACCCTCTCATGTCTCCATTCTCATTGTCTCTTACAGTTTCTATCTTTTCCTCCCAACTCCTGGCTATTTGTCAACCACTCCAGACGCTGCATTGCTAAACAATGTTAAGAACCAGTTCTGATGAACTGGTACAAACAGGCTGAATGACACCACTAGATACAATCATTAGTTATCCCTTTTGTCTCTTTCTCACCAATGTTCCCTGGCATGATTAAGGAAAGCTAGTACATCCAGGGTTATACATGGGACAGCAGCAGATTAACTACAATAATGACCACAGCATCTGTTTAGGATCTGAGGAGTATATTAGAGATACCATTCTTAGCCAGTATCTTGCACAGATGAAAGTAGCTTTGCTTTCCTTTATATAGGTTTCATTTCTAAAAGAAGGCAGTTATGACTGAGGGCAAGACAACAGACACCAAAGGCTAGGCTTGCTATTTAACTACTGGAAGCCCTCTTTTACTTTGTTAAATTTTGTGAATGTTTACTACTAATTCTGACTAATAATGGATCAGATCCTTGGATGATAAAATGGATTGTCTCCTGGCCTCAAGAAGGAGCCAACTGTTCAAAGCAACATTTAATGGTATAGACTTTTAAGTTAATTTTGTTCATGCAGTTACTGCTGGTCTAAATGACAATAAGTACCTATAAACTACTTTAATTTAATGTATAATGAGATTTTGGTTGTGACGGACAGGGGGCTGCTGTAAATATGTTTGTGGGTGGAAAATACACTGAAATTATGAAAATCTGACACATTGCTAAAATACACATTAAAGCATAATAGTGGTATTTTAAAGGTCGCAGTGAAATCATATTCATAAACTAGTCAATATGCAACTGTCAGCTAAGTTTATTGAAACTTGTGTGGTGTTTAGCACAACATATTGCTCTCACTAAAGGTTGCAATCCAGAAATGGGTTCAGGATTTTCTTAAACTCTCCTTCCATACTGTAGTGCTTTTCTTGCAGAGGAGAAAGGAGCACCTCCGAGACATTACATTTGAAAATGAAGGTGGCTCTGGTGACTGCATTTGTTTTTATGCCAGATGACAGTGGATTGGGGAAGGAACCTAGATCATAGGGCATGGCAGCCTTATGCATATGTGGCATGTTGCAAGATTCTAAGAAGATCACAAGAAGTAGTCATGGCAGGCTTTTAGAGACATAAATTTAGCGGCATCAGTACTGGGGTGCCACACCAGTAATTGAATGCATACTCTGCACCAGAGCTTTCAGGTATCACATTTTTGGACCTTAACCCCTAGAACTCTTAAATAGCAATTCTTGTGAGCCCCATGTTTTACTAGAAAGAGGAGATTCTTCCTCTGAACATTAAGTTCAATGCTAAACAATCTGGCTGTACCACTGTGTATGAAAGAATGTATAAAAACTGATTGCATTTTATATCTCCTTGAGCAACTGCGTCTGCGTCTTCATTAGAAAGGACCCTGTTATACATTGAGCATGAGTAAGGATACTGTTGCTAACGCTTTCCCTTACATCTAACAACAATTTGACACACAATTTAGAAGCCTGTGGATTAGCAATTGCAGGATAAAAAGTTCCTTCTGCTGCTGTAACATATTTTGTATGATTCTAGTTCTTCTAGTGTCACTGGAGATAACCTATTTCATCTCTGGACTACTCTATGTCTTGGTTGTAGAAGAATGGGTTTGGGATTATGCTATAACTGTTACAATCATTCACATCGCAGTAACTTCAGCCGGTATGTATGCTGTTTAATACTGTTTCAGAAACAGAAGTACCGTTCATTAAAAAGAAACAGAAAAATGTTAAAAGCTATACCGTTGGCTTTACTTGTCATTTTGAAAATGTAGGACATGCACCTATAATCTGAAATGGAGATATTAAGCAGGCAAGGCTTTTCTTATTATTTTATTTCTATTTCAGGAAAAGCTTGTCTGCTTGATAGACAGCTACTAGTGGCATAGACATGAAAGAAAAGTAGAAAGAAAGATTGTTAACTCAAGAGGCTTGACTTTAATTTTGTTCACAAGGTTACTGCTGGTTTTGGGTGACAATAAATACCCATAAATTACTTTAATTGAATGAACATTGGGGTTTTGATTGTAATAGGCTGGTGACTTAGTTTGAGGGACAATGCCAACTGGAGGAGCTGAAGAGTAGTCACTGTTTAACAGCCTGAGGTGGACTTATGCACAAGATAAATAAGCTACAATTTAGAAACACCTTTATAAAGCACTTCTAAATATCAAGAACGTTTCAAGCTTTACTTAGTGGTTAGAATAATACATAGGGAGAGGAGCAATGTTAAGCCCTTAATGTAATCTAGCTCCTCAGTCTAGCTCCTGGGGAAAACATAGTAAAAGAAATGATTGAGGTGCATCTACACTGTAGAATTAATGCCTCTTTAACCGCTATGGATCAATGCTGTGGAATTATGGGAGTTATAGTTTGGTGAGGTACCAGCAGTCTTTAGCAAAGAAAGCTAAAGATCTTGTAAAACAACAACTCTCAAGATCCTATAGCACTGAACCATGGTAGTTAAAGTGGTATCAAACTGCATTGATTCTACAGTGTAGATGCAATCTCAGAGTGCACCCACACAGTTTGCAAAATGCACAAATGATGCCTCGGGTAAAAGCTAATTCATTTGGCACAAAGCAGGCAAACCCTGCTTTGTTCTGAATTAATTGAACACCTGGAAAGGCCTGGTTCTTTCCAGTTGTGCGCCTTGTGTGAATTGGGCCCGGGGATCGCATTGTGTGACTTCCAGACCCAATCCACAAAGCTGTCCTAAGACAGCCCCTACTCCCTCACCCAAACCTCTTTAAATACCCTAAAAAGTAAAAATTACTTGGCCATTATTACGCTGCTGCTGGCCCTCTTCTGGCGTGTAGAAATAATGTGCCAGGAGAATGGGGGGAGGCGGAAGATTGTTCCTTGCCCCTTTTCTTGGTGTGTCATTTTTATGTTCCAGGAGAGGGCCAGCAGCAGGATAATGGCAGCCGGGTAAGTAATTTTTACTTTTTAAGCTTTTCTGTTTTGTTGTTGTTGTTGTTGTTGTTGTTGTTGTTGTTGTTGTTGGTGGTGTCTGGGATATCTAGGAAAGGGATATATGTAGCACTCCATATGTTGTTGGATTGCAGCACCCATGACTCATCATGGCCTATGCTGGCTAGGACTAATGAGAGCTGTGAATCTCAAACTTCTGAAGGTGTTGCTGTAAGCACAACCAGGTGGAGAGATGCAGGTCACCATGCTGATGACCATTTTTAGAGATATGTATGGTCGAATTCTATCACAAATCATTTATAAAATGGTCAGCACACCTTGTGTAGAATGGTTGTTTCATGAGCATTAACTTGCAACTTTGTGGATCTTTAATCACAAAGCTTAAATAATACTTGTGCTTTTTCTAGCTCTGAGTGAGAAAGAACATTCTGGCCAATATTGAGTTTGGAGTGAAATGAGAAAAAGATGGCTTTAAGCTTCAAATATGAGTAATAGCAAATGTTTAGCTGTCCCTGTTTCCAGGATTCTGGGCAGCATTCTGCTTAGGCTAACCGATAAAAGATAGTGTCCTGGCATGCAAACTCCTTTTTCTCTTTCCAACAAAATAGCTTCACAAGGAATTCTTGCCAGCAGAAGTGGCTTATTGCCCTTACTTTCTCCCCCTCCCCTTTCAGATGGCAAGATAATTGATTGCATGGACATATAGGGAAGGTATTTAACTGAATATCTCCCCGCAAACTTGTATTTGTCATTCGTATAGCTTGTTACAGATTCCTAATGGTTATATTCATTAGACAATACTTGCCCTGTATCAGGAAGTCTCAGCAGCTGATTGTGCAATAAGCCTTTGCCAAGTTAAGAAAATAATATTCAGGATACCACAAGCATAACCAAATACAAAGAAAATTTGTGAACTATTATGATCAAATGAATATCGAGTGACAATAGTCATGTAGGACTATGACATGACATTCAAAAACAATTGAAGCCAAACATATGCAATATGTAACTGCCCCTCCTAAGCCTAAAGCATATGACACCAAGGGCTGAAGAGGTCAAAAAGTAGGCAGGATACAACACACTTGTTTTTGTTACAAGTGCACTGATTTCCTTTGGCCATAGTGTGAGGACATCACCAATATGAGCAAAATCGCTGCTTGATGTAACAAGAGTCAACAAAATACATGTGGTTTATGTTTGACAATGCACTGTTCCATAAATATTTGTGACCATGCATGTTTCAATATTTAATTTTTTTACAAAAAAATAGAAATGCAATGATTTGGCAATCAAACGTTAAATATGTAGGTTTTAAATTAAGATGGCTAGAAAGAGCTTTAACGGAACCTGAGGCTCAGTTGTGATTGGCATTGACATTGTATTGGTGCAGGGGCCACATAGTGGGACCTTACAAATCTTACATGATCAATACATTGAATTTCCCTTTGCTTCCATTTCATAATGCCAGACAATTGCTAGTGAACATACGTGGACAACGTATCTATTATCCTGTATTTCTAATCCAGTGTACTGGGACTGTGCACATGATGCTCTTCTTAAGAGTATAAAATAATAATTATAAAGTCATGTGATCAAACTTTTTGATAGGGAAGGAAAGGTTGGTGGTCTGATTTCATCCTCCTCCCTCACAGAAATAGATGGCTGCCAACTATTTTAAAGAGGGGCACATCTCCAAGAGAAGCTTCGGACCGACCAATATATTTTGTATTTGTTTCTCCATATGGAAATATAGCTGGAGTATTCCTAGGGCGAGAAAGGCTTCTTTTTGGGCTAGGCCTTCAAGAACACTCCATACAATGTGGGTATTAGTCAGGCTTTCTGCAGTTCACTTTTAATGTGCAATTTAATGCACTTTTTCAGAACCCCCCCCCCCCATGCCCACTGGTGTAATCTCAGTGAATTATTGTTTTGGCTGATTGGGTGCAGAGAGAGACTCTAAGGAAGAGGCTGTACTTACTAGTTCAGTTCAGAGAGAGCTGGAGAGGAGCTGTGTTTGCCAGGGATAAGAATTAGGTGCTTGTCACTTTGAATTAGGGCTTTGGGGTTCCTACAATAACGGCTGAATAGCAAGACTTCAGCAAGCGAGTTCTGCTTTGTGGGGTGCCTTGAAATGTGGGAGCCTATAATAAGGTGGACTGAATATAAAATATGTTGCATTGTTGATGTTTAATTGGAAATCTTTTTTAGATCTTAAAATGATTTCAACCATTGTGATTGTGTTCCCATTGTTCATTTATAACTGGCTCCGTAGAACCCTAAGAAATGGTACATTGGCACTAATCCCAAAATATAACATTTCATTTGCAGTTATGTCTGAATTTCCACTGATGATGCACTGGTGGGCAGCTTTAGGTATGGCTTACAGTTATTTTTTATGGAATTCAAAAGATAGTAGTGATACTGGAACTAGCAAACAAGTGAAGCATTTTGAAAAAGAAATTGACTACAGATGTCGAAGCCTGATCTGGTTGGGATACCATTTGTAGAGGGCTGGGGATAAGTAACCTTTTACTCCCATTGTGCTTTCAACTGTTCCTGTAATTATATTGGAAGGCAAGCTCCCGCTCTTAAAAAGATGGGTTAATTTCTGTAAAACAAATAGGCATTTTGAGGTATGTTTGTGCAAACTGGATAAGATTGAGGGTTAAAAAGCCATTATACCACACAAGGGTCCCAATCCAGGTCATATCCTGTGTGATTTATACATAAAAGCCATTAATGCAATTGCTTGATGCCTCATTTAGTATGACCCTTCATAAAAGTGATTTACCAAAGGGCATCCTTGCCCAGGAAGCTCTCATGCACATCCTCCACTAAAATGAATAGAACTAGCATAAGTGTCACACTGTTTTTTGCAGGAGACTTTTCCAGTGGCTCATGGCCTGAGGGTATAATTTACATTTCACTGAAAGGGGGAAAATGGAACTCCTATTTTAATAGGACATTTTAGTGCTTAGGATTGTGATTGTGGCCTAAAGGTATGCAATAGGCCTATTAAAACAGGACCCTATACATATATTTAGAAATGCCCATAACTGAGAATGGTATTGGAGTCATAGATTTAATTAATGTTGATTCAAATTCTTAAAATAAATCACTTGAGAACTTCAGGATTACCATCTGACAATGTTCACATTTTTGAAATATCGGGCAACTTCCACTGAAGAAGGTGACTGCACTACAAATACTAAACTGGAGTTGTTTTGAAGTTCATTCTGTCATCTTTGCCCTTAAGGGAATGGCAGAAATACTCAACATATCATTGAAACTAATGGTATGGAACAACTACAAAGACTTTTCCTTGGTTTTATACTAGACTTTCATACTGGTTTTTGAATCAATTTATTGCAAGGCTTACTATACAGAAATGGGATAATTTCTAATTAAGTAAGATGCAGAGCATACAGATTTGTGGATTTGACATTTGCCGATGTCATTAAAATGTTGTCTCTAGGAAGCTCTATGTCTTCCCGTGAGAATCTATGATCAACTTCCAGTGGAAGACCTAGAGATTTCTAGAAAAAAACACCTCATATTAATCAAAACTGCAATAGTCAAACTTGCAAAAGTATCTTATCATAATTTCATTTACAAACTTGGGGGGGGGGGGGAAACACAGGGAGTGACACTTTGAAACAGTTGGAAAAAGAATAACCAATGAATAACTCAATTATGTTTCCCAGTTCAAAGCTGGTTAATTTTAATTACAAATGTACTTTAACATTCTTTTTAGTTGTTGTTGATGCTAATAAAGACTTCTGTTTCATTTTTTAAATAGGTCTGGGCCTGATTTCAATGATTTGTGGAGGGCAATGCTTGGCCTACTACTTGTTCAGAGACAACTTTATTTATCCAATCATGGATGATTTCTGAAATGCATTTGATGCTGCACCTTTCAACACTGCATTTAAAAATGTTTTGGGTCAATGTCACTATGCTGTTTCCATTCATTCCAAATTGTACACACTATCATAAGTCATGCTTCTTTCTTTGTACAGATTTTTTTTATGTTTAATAAAATTTTATGTGTAGACAAGTGGAAAAGGCTATTTTTTGTCTGAATAATATTGAACAGAAACTCAGCAGAACTCCAAAGAAAATTATAAAAGTAAAGTCTTTTTTTCAGCCCTAACTGTAAATATAATTTCACAACAGTCATATTATTACATTTTTATTATAGGAGAATAACTATGAGGTACAATAAATGTTTCCTAAGAAAAAGAGAAACTGATTTTGAAGATGTCTGGGAATACCTTGGAATTGAACTTACAGTAAGAAAAGAAGGTAATACTGCTTTTATCTCCCTCTCTTGCTCATAATCTTCTACAATGGGCCTTTGGGATATGCTAGTTTGGTTCCAAGGCCCTTTATGGATACCAAAATCTGTGGATGCTCAAGTTCCAGATATACAATGGTACAGTAAAATAATGTTCCCTAATATAAAAGGAAAAAATCAAGGTTTGCTCTTTGGGTTTAAAAAGATATTTTCAAGCCATGGATGGATGAATCCATGGATACAGAATTTGTGGATATAGGGGATCAGCAGCATAATAGTCCTGCATGTGTGGCAAAAGAATAGATAACATGCAGGGCTCAAAGGACCAGGAAAGATAAACAACCACTTAATAATATCCACAAATGACACCCCTTGACTCTTCCATTTGAAAAAAACCCCAGTAATTTCCCATGCCAGCAGCCCTCCAATAATAAGAGATCTACCACAAATAGAAATAGGTTACTCTCCCCAATTCTTTCCAGCTGCAAAAGCATGATAATTTGATCACTGTGCCACTAAGTGTGGGGAAAAGACGGTGAAACAGAACATTTTCATCTGAAAGAGATGTCCCATAGGGTCGTTCTCCCTGACCTGGAATTATAATGGAATATTGCTGTGGGGAGGGGTGTCTTACTTTAAATCAACATTTTGTGATACCCATAGATGTTATATCAATATCCTTGTAACATGTCATACCTGTTGGCATGCAAGGCAATTAATGCACCTCATTCTAACATATGGCATGTATACTACCATGTTGAATGGATCAGTAAACAAAAATGTACACAATGAATGTGGACAATGGGTACAGAACTAGCTGCTTTATACATTTTATCTCCTATTGATGGCTTTATGTCACTCATCAAAAACAGTGGAGATGCGCAACTACACAGAAATAATTCTTATATTCTTCAGAGAATGCATAAGTTAGTATGCGTAAAAGCTGAGCTTATAGTATTTGATATATATTTTGGTAGGAAATATGTTGGGTGTTGTTTGCTTCAGAACTAAAATGGCAATTCTATATACACATGATGAGAACAAGTCTCATGACTGATCCTATGTAGACCATTACATTATTAGGCTAAGCTTGAGCCAAGAAAACCAGAAATGGCATATAACAATGCATATAATTCCATTTGCTGTTAATGATCTGTCACCCATTTTGAATGTGTACTTAATAGTAAAGGGCTTTATGGTGTAGACCTTTAGTGGATTATGACTCAGGTTAATCCATGGGTGAATCAAGTTCTATTCTTAACAGAACGCCTTTTATTTTAAGTAGCAATGTCAGCAACATTGTTCTACTAATAAGGAAGATGACTGAATCTTTGTTTTGATCCCAATCTTGTATCAATTCTGAAGTTTCAAAATAACTAATAGTCTGGTCTTATAGTTTTGCTACTGTGCAACGAAGTATGGTAAACAAATCACTAACTAGGCTAATGCAAGTATTCAAATAGAGGTTTACAAAGGATTTGAAAGCTAAATCTAATTGCTAGTCCTAACTAGAGTAAATCCACTGAATCATTGGTACTTTGGCAAGTTAGCACTTACATAAGTTTCATTGACTCAATTGGCCTATTCTAACTTTGACTGACAATTGAATTTAACTCTCTTATATTTAAAAAATCTTTTTAACTGTTCAGCATTCCAAGCAGAAAACAATAAAAGCCAATGAAAAAATAATTTGAATGTTTCATTTTGAGTGGGTACACTTCCTCACTAAAAAGGAAACACGTTAATTTGAAATATAACTGCATTTTATGTTAGAAAACATATTAATATAGCAGCCACAAACACTCTCCCTAACCCATAGCAGTGGATGAACAGTTCAGATGGTGAAGCTGGGCCAAGACAGCTTTGGCCTTGCTGGACTGTCACCTTACTGTATCTGTTGCCACTGATGCTAGAAGAGAGTTACAGATCCCCATGGGAACTCCTGGCCATTGTGGACACCCCATGCTGACATTAGCAGAGGGCCCTGCACAACCAGGGAGAAGGCAGGGCAATCCTCCGCCTTCCCCCTTGTTTGTGTGGGCACCTCTGTTGTGTGGGTGCCTGTGAAAGCCTAGTGCTCTCAGAGCTTGATAGCTGTCTGACAAAGGTGACAATAACAACACAGGCCTGATCTAAGTGATTGATGGTAGTAGCTTGTATTTCACAATGGTCTGGTCCAAATTGGACCCACTCCAGCTATCCACTCTGCTGCTCAAGTTTTAACCAAACTCCAAAATATCCTGGCTCTCTTAATGTTAGAGTGTGTTAGAGATATTGATTTAAGGAGCTAACACACTACTGGCTTGGAAAAATGAAACAGCTTTATTGGACAAAGTCCATTCTAAGGTAGGAAAATTACTTGGGGAGCTAATCTAAGCTATGGTAGTTACATCTTGGAAGGTTGAGAAAGGACTCTGGGAAGGAGAAGAGGTGGAGAAAATCCCTAGGAGTATGTTTACATCACAGAGGGAGCAGGATATCTAGAGAAAAGAGGGAGGACTCTTCAGGTCACTCAACTATGTAACCCCATTTCTCCTGTTCACTGTGAAGCACTCTTCACTCATCAGTGCTAAGCGTTGTTGCATTCCCAACACTTAACACAAGGCTAAATCGGTTTAACCCAATTTACCTCACAATAAGCACCACAAGTTTGATAATGTCATGAAGAAAGCCAGTAGTAACTGCACAGTGTGTATGAGTAATTAAGACCATGGAGATGAACCTTTGGAATGAACCAAGACTTTAACAAATCAAGATACTGTTCTTTTTGTCTTTGTGTTTGCACATAGATTCTATTCAGCATTTTGAGTATTAAACTTATGGCAACCATAAGGTGGCCCAATTATGTGAGGATTTCTTGGCAAGAAATGCTCATAGGTTTGCACAAATTTTGAAGACATAGAGGTTGGTTTTGCATAAATCCTTATACTGGTTTTAAACTGATGACCATTGGTGTAAACAAACCAAAACCTGGAAATAGGACAGGTATGTTTGAAAAAAATGTTTTTCACAGTGGCCAATATCGACATTCTAGAGCAGGAGTCCTCAAACTTTTTAAACAGAGGGCCAGGTCACAGTCCCTCAAACTATTGGAGAGCCGGACTATAATTTGAAAGGAAAGAAAAAAAACATGAATGAATTCCTATGCATACTACACATATCTTATTTGTAGTGCAAAAAACACTGAAAAATAAATAAGTAAAATAAAGAACAATTTTAACAAATATAACCTTAGTATTTCAATGGGAAGTGTGGACCTGCTTTTGGCTGATGAGATAGGATTGTTGTTGTTGTTGTGTGCTTTCAAGTTGTTTCAGACTTAGGTTGACCCTGAGCGAGGGCCGAGTAAATGACCTTGGAGGGCCGTATCGGCCCTCGAGCCTTAGTTTGAAGACCCATGTTCTAGAGTGAAGAAGCACTATAACTGATGACATTACTGAAATCTGATCCCAAATCAGAAAGTCAGAGGGAAAACTGGCCAGAGAGCTGCAATCCAAAAAAGTAAGTTTTCCAAGCTCATTGAGCACTAGTGTTTTTGTAGTGACATTAATCTCAATAACAGACGGGTTTATTTATGGGGGAATCTGAGGTTGAAGGAAGATTGCAGGAAACCACATTTAAACACTTGCTAGTCTAATATATTACATTTAAAACACACTCAATCATTTTTAAATTAAGCTCTTCTCATTTTTAAGGAATTTAATGTGTGAAAAATATATATTCATCCTCATTTAAATAGTGTATCCAGTGTGCACAGTGCTTTGGAAGTAAAACAACAAAATGAACAAATTTAACCTTTTCTGTTGATTTCCAAATGCCATTTCTTAAAACTTCTCATTTTAACAGGCAGTTCCTATTAAGCAATTGGTGAATCTTTTACAGCATATTACACACATTATTAACTATAATTATATCTAATGTGCACCAAATAACATCATACTATTAAACACTTATTAATCAGTACCAATACTTAAAGATTAAACTTGATTTTAATATGTTCCTAATGTGATTTGGTTACAATGGTTTCTTTTCAGTTTGGAAACCTATATAATTATCCATCTGCTCAGGTAATGACTAACACTTTAATCTCTCTTTCTCTCTGCTAGTTTATCACTGCTTCAGGCAACATGAATAGTGTCATTCTGCATCATTCATTGTGTATCCGAGATTAAAACCCTTACTAATGACTGTAGAAGTGTGATAGTAGATGACACAGAATATTTGTTATTGGTTTTACACCTTGTGAATTGTTGAATCTTCATGATTCCAGTATCCTTGGGACTGGTACCTGTGGTCTCACTTATCCATGCTCAACAAAATATGCTTTCTCTAGATATTTCCTATTATGACTCTATGGTATCCAAAGGTATTCTTGGGTCACAAGTTCTTCATTTTGATAGGGCTCATGATTATCCACAGTTCTGCATATCTACACCAGCCCCTGGAGATAAAAGGGCTGTGCTATATAATGTAAAGTCTATTGAATAATTTTACATTGGTTCAGAGTCAGCACTTCACTTAGCTGGCATTGCACCACCTGACATCTGTCGGGAAGAAGCAGCCAATAATGAAAGGACCAAGGCAGTGACATCTCCGGCCCATCCTCTGTTCGGAGATCAGCCAGTATGCCAACACCATAAATCAAGAAATAACTTTCAAAGTTCAACACAGATTTTCTGAGGAACACCTCAGCAAGCGAGAGTCCAAAAGTGGCAGACAAAAACCCAGAACCTCAAGCCATGGCTGATACCGAATGAGAG